CACTGCCACAGCAGTCGCAGACGCTGGTACTCGCGCGAGCACAGTTGCTTCCACATGTAGTAGAAGCGCACGCATTGCTTCGTCGATTTGGTGCCGATCTGTAACAGAGGACAAGCTTACTTTAATTATGTGATAAGCTTGATGTTGTGAAGTTGCCGAAAGTTTTAGAAATGCGCTTGCCTTCGGATGGGTGAAGTTGTATTCACTTTGGTATTGGGAATACAGAATTATGGGAAAATGGAAAAGTATTTTAATGAAAAACAGATTTTACAGATGCAGGTATTGTACTGGCATTACAGATAAATTTCATAGTGTAATTAACATTCGATCACTATTGTTTCAAATTACTTATTCAGAAGATTCTTGAAATCTCCCAAGATTTCAGTGTAAGCGAGGTCAAAATGACACACATTATTAAGCGCTCAAATGTCAATTTTCTCAAAAACTACTTCAATTTTTACTCGAAAATTCCTATACGAAAATTCCCTCGTATTAACAGATGAGTGGCGTTTCTACGATACTCCGAAAATCTCATTTTGATTAAACAATTAGTGGGTCTAAAAATGAAGAACAATATAAAAATACAGGAATATTTTATCAGATACCACCCCAACGTTTTTTACTTTCTTTACGAATACAGCAAAAAGGCAATATTTTGTAGCAAACGCGGTAAGAGAATCTATGTGTTTAGACACATTTACAATCCCATATTAGCGCATTCCTTATAATGAAGGGGTAAATTCCTACGAAATATAAAATCGAATATCAAAAAGACTTACTTAACCAAATACAATAGAAAAAATTGAAGAATATAATATACATCTCTCTGAAACCAAATATACGCATTTTCACTTTCTTTTTGTTTGTTTGAAAACGTTTTTTGGGGAGTAGTAGCTTTATACAGGAATTTTCTCCAAGAAAAATAGTTTTCGGCACTAATGTCCAATGCAAAGTTTGTATTAAACATTTACGTGAAAAAGGGATTGCAATATTTCGCTCTGAAGAAAACATTTTCGATGTAGCCTCGGATTAAACCACCGCGTCGTTGAGCTGCATTGTCTAGAGTTTACGGTGGCGTCCGTGCGTTGCGGTTATTGTATTTTAAGAGGTAAAATTAATTATATTATCGGATTAGGTGTGATTGATATTTTCCAAATTTAAAAAAAAACATCAAAATAAGTTATTTTCCATATGTACCAAAAACTGTTCATATACTTGGCCTCTAAGCCAATACACACTTTTGTTTTGATGATAAACGCAATGTTTGAGATGGTTGCAAGTATTAAGCACTTTTTGGTATCGGGGACTCATAAAACCAATCTGGGATCTAAGAATCATATTCATCCACTCCTTGATAAATGTTTCAAGGCTCGTAAGTTGTGATCGGAGAGTGATCCTTGATTCCGATCTTTACTTTCCCTTTTCCCCGGTGGTAGGGGAGACATCAAGAGGTCGCTCACCTCCTGCGCGATGGTGTAGAAGTCTTTTTCGTACATATGCAGCCCCTGGTGGAACACATCGATTTCTTCGGTGGTCCAGTGGTCGTTGGCGGAACAGTAATAGTCGAAAGCGGGGTCCTTGAGCCGCCCGCCTCCGCCGCCTCCCGCACCGTTCACCTCCACCAGACGCAGTACTGCCTCCTGCGCAAGTGGGCATACGGCAGGGTACAGATACATGTATTTAATAATAATAATAATAATAATAATAATAATAATAATAATAATAATAATAATAATAAAACTACAGTATGTTTCATGCTGCTACTTGTTATGACCACGCACACATTGTCTTTTAAACTCGCTATTTCACTCAAAGTTACGCACAACTGCTTGTATTTTCAAACATTTCACTTTCGCGTTATTTCTTTTGATTAGTGATTCCGGGCACAATTTCTAAGGTCATTAGTTCCGTAAATGTAGTGCATGGTTTTTTATCGCGCGATGTGGCGGTTACCCTCCGCTGGCTGGCGAGATGCGACGTCGACTTACGTCGGTTTTTTCCTCAACCGGGTATTTCCCACCAGCGTGGCACCGCCTAAGCTGGGACAAGCTCTAAGCTCCAAACTGGACTCCCAACAAGTGTGGTAGTGTGGTGCACGTTAGTGTAAGTGTGTGTAGGCAAGTGGTGAGGAAAGAACAATGAAGAAGAAGGAGAGATCGCGCGCGCGCGCGGTCCGTTTCTTAGAGTACTGCTCCAGCACTCGCCTGGTGTTGATCGAAAAAAAAAAACACGGTCACTAGAATTCTCCTCCAGACAACGGCTGAATTCGACCTAACTGAAAAGCCATTGTCGAAAATCATTCCACCATGAGGACTCGAATCCTAGGACCTCCCGGTTAGAGGCACTGCAGAGGCAGCAATTGATGCCCTGAGCTACCTTTGTTGGAGGACAGTTTTCATTAAAACATATATATCCATCTCAATAATGTAGTATTTGTTGTGGAAGATTCAAAACATTAAACATGTGCAATTTAAGAGGTTTTATTGAAAATCGTACATGCTCTATTTTTATAATCGTACTATGCATTAATTCATTTCCGTGTTGGTAAAAATTTCGAAAATGTCCTGTGAACTTCATATAATGTTCCTCAAAACAAAAAACATCCTTTTTAAATTCTCGGAGCAGCGACATCTATGAGGTTGATCGGGAAATGTTAAGTTCGGTGAAAATTCTATGTATTGTTTAGGTACTTGTGTTGTTCACAGACAGACTAAACTGTCAGACAGGGCAGATAGACCATATGGTTTGACTGCACAGACAGTGGATCAAACAGGGCACACGACTGATCAGACAGGACAGACAGGCGGCGAGTCATAGAGGAAAAACTGTCAGACGGACAAGACTGGTCGGTCAGACAACTCATTCCCGTCAAACAGGATCACCGGACCGACAGAAAACCGGGACTGGCGGGACGGGTCAGATAGGTAGAATAGAAAATAGCACACAGTACAGATACATATGTCACTCAGAGAGAACACTTAGAAGGGACAGGAGGACGGATAGTACAGATGGGACGAACAGAATGGACAAGACGGACAAGAAATATGAGACATTCTAAGATTAACAACTTTTTCGATGTCAAGGACACACAAAACGTTTTATCCTGTCAAAAAATCGGAACTTTTTCCTGAAATAATTCGTAAATTTCTGTATATAACTAATATGCAAGAAAGTAAAAATTCGCCGGAGAGAAAAAAAAATGCACGAAAAAATAATATAATTTTCAAACGAACACGCCATGAAACACATATATACAAAGCTTGAGAGCTCGTATTTTGGACCCCGGTACACAGGGTTGGAACTTCGCCGTCTTACCACTACAATACTGGAAAAGAATGACTGTGCGCAGGACGGGTAGACGGGGGCGGGGTGGGCAGTCACTTACGGAGATGTTGCCGCGGGCGCAATGCAGCAGGCGGAGGGCGAACTCCTGGTTGAAACCGGCGCCGGGCACCGCCGCGCTCGCTGCTAGCTCCAGGAACGTCTCGACTGCAACAAGGCGTGGGAGCAATGGAGTGAGTACCAGCGCTCTTCGCTAGAAGATCGATGAAGGCAACTCGAAGATCGATGGCCAATTAATCAGGAGAAGTCAGATGTACGAAAGATACATATTTACATAAGAGTATGTTAGAATGCAATTCCCTGAGTGCGTTCTACAATAGTACCTACTTTCTCGCATTATTTCTAAATTTGCAAATTTCGAAAATTCAGAGTTCAACGACAATGAGACTTACGCCATTCTTTTAAGCGTTTCTTATTCTATCCACAGAAAAAATGTTGAAGGAAAAATATTAAGCCGTATTTGAGAAAATGTTTTTTTTAACAAGAAGAAATTTAAAGAAAAAATGGGTGCCGTTTTGGAGAAACAATATTTAAAAAAAATTAATTACCTATATTCCACGCAAAATGACGCAAAAACGAATAATATTTTCGCAATATTGTACACGATCTTGTTTCAAGATTTATCTTTAAATAACAGATTGAAATCAGTTCTTAATCTGTGTTCTACTCTGTGTTAAGAATTCAATCTCTAACTTCAATATTGTAGTTATTGGAAGACACTGTAAAAATAAGAACTTGGGCAATTTTCGAAGAATTAAGGATTTCGACGAAGACGAGACTGCGCCATTTTGTAGCGTAAAGAATAGTGTTCTTTTCACTATCCGAGGATAAAGTGTAATCAAAGAACTTGGAGCGATTTTTGAGAAAATTTTGAAAATGTTTTTGAGGCTTCATCATAAGATACACCCCAAAATAAAAATATCCGTTTGAATCTCAGAGGGCCTCGAGTTCATTAAAATTGATAGGAGAATATCTATTTTGGAGGAAATAGGCTGAATGGTTTAGGCACAATCGTTGACCACAGATGAAGGGACGGACGGACGTTTTGCTGTGTGTACAAGATATACACTATTTCGTTATTAGGCCCAGCAATAAGTGTGTATCTGTATTCGCATCTTTCCGGTGCGCGATTACAAAGTTACTAATTATAGAGTAAATGCGAGAAAGTATAATGGCGAAAAGGTTGTAATCGATATTTAATTGATCGCTGCCAAATAATCATAACACAATGGAAGCGGTCAATCATAACTTACAACCATAAATTACGGAGTTCAATAAGCTTTTATGCGTGATGAGAGAGTTGGAAATATGCGTGCCCACACGATCGCATGACAAACCTCGAAACATGTACTGTATGATTCACAAAATACGTCGGCAATTGAAAGATTTAAATAGGCAGTTTGCGCCGCCTGGGATTGTCTTGATTACAAGCAAACGTGACTTAACTGCGAACTGTAATGAGCAGCAGTGAGAGGTAAGCTCAATTTTCCCCTTGCATGTGTGCCACTCGCCCAGGGGAATGTCGTACACATCATGATATTAAAGCATCGCCATTAGTACGCAATAAGCCAGCGACTTCCACACATTCTTTCCACACGATAAAAAGCATTACATGATAACATAGGGGCAGCAGAGAACGACGGTTCGCATATGACGCCTGTATGCGAACACTTGTAATTTGTGTAGCATGCTCTTGGGACTCGACAGTGTCAGCAATGTGATGTGATATTATAACTAGGGAAACCACAACAGCGGATATTTTCTCGCACTATTGCTAAATATTCAATTTTTGAAAATTCAGAAACTTCAACAAAAATGAGACTTGCGCCATTCTTTTAATCGTCCATTCTTCTATTCGTGGTAAAAATGAAGAAAACATTTGGAGCGGTTTTTGAGAAAATGTTTTTTTATAAATTGCATTAATTTTAAGAACATATTTCGTGATAACTAGTTTTTTTCAAAAAAATGTACGTGTCCATTCTTTAAAGAGTTAATTTTTTACAACAACCTTTATGAAAGGTAAAAACATCTATCTTCAAATTTGTAGTTTTGAAATGTTACCTTTACGCAACTGTATTCGAAAATGCAAAGATTTCGCCGAAAATAGGTCTAGCGCTATCTTTTCCCCCCGGCTTTTCATACATTAGGGGAGAATTATGTTTTCAAAATTCAGTGTTTTTTCAGAAAAATATTTTTAAAAAAATTGAATTGCCTATATTTCGCGAAAACTTACTAATATTTTTTGAACAATTGTTTATGTCCTAATTTAAAGATGTCTTTAAAGAACAGATTTCATTAAAGGAAAATATCTCTATCTTCAATATTGCAGTTGTAGGAAGACGCTTTCAAAAATTGCACTTTTGCAATTTTCGAAAAATCAGGGATTTTAACGAACATAAGACCACCACTATTCTATTAAGTGCTCTTAAAGCTATTCGTGAGCAAAGTTAAACCAAATTAGGACACATTGTTTAGAAAACTTTGAAAATGATGTAAAGTTCACGTAAAGTACCCCCGAAATCAAAATATATCAGATTGCGGGTGAACGGTTTCAGCTGAAGCTTACGGACGGAAGGACTGACTGACTGACAGACTGAAGGACGGACTGCCGAACGGATAGACAGAGAGATGGACAGACGTTTTGCCGCCAATCGATTTTTCGGTATCAAGAACCCACAAACCTTAGAGTTTTTCTGCAAAAAATTTGCTGTTTTCGGGCGCGCGCTTACAATAATTTCTTTTCTTACGAAGGAAGGGTGAGAAAGTAAAAGGGAGATTTATTTAGCGACAATTCACGTGACTGTTTTTGTTATCTTTTGAAACATTAAAAAACCATTCACGTAAAAATGTTAACGTAGACGTGAGGAGCTAAACGTGTTCTTTTAACATAACCAAGTACCATCCACAATAACCGCACATGTAAACAAGAATGCATCTACTTTCTATACAGTAATATCGAATTTAACCTATAGATGTTAATACTTGGCTTAGTAAACCAACACACAATCGAACGACCACAAGTATAATAACAAAATGGCTTTTGTACCAGTCATGGCGTTCCCCAATGAGCCGCGGGCACACGGGTTTACCAAGTACACGCGCAACTTATGGTAAGTTCTGGAAAGACTATGTTCATAGAGGGGGTGACGCAACTAGTCATTCTAGTGATGCGCCTGTTTCAAATAGGGTCTCAACGTTATTTTCTGTCCCGAAAATAACCGATCTCACAAAATTCCAATAATCTGGCAAAATATAAATGAACTGGATAGATTAAAGAAATTTGCATTCATTGGGAGTC